GACTACGACTACGTTTATAAATCACACCACTTAGTTTATTTTCCTCCAATTTGCTCCAATTCCCTCGTGTTCGATCGTTTTGAGCGTTCGGATTTCACGGTATCGCGGTAAATCTTTTTGTAGGAGAATATAGCGTTCGAATTTCACTTCCAATTAAGTATCTCGATCGCGCGTTCCACGTATCGATAGCTCGGCTATAGTTTGATCGCATCTCTAATTGAATTACCTGAGATTTATGCAGATAGAGTTCACTTTATTTGCAAGACGGTCATTTCTGGCTTCGTGATCAGATATAAAAATAAGACACAGCGGGAGACAGCAATGAGAAACGACACGTAAAGAATAAAATGCTAATGCAATGACGTTACATTCAAGAATAAGAAAGTAATAAAATTATAACCAATTACGAGTCGTTAGCATCGACGTGCAAATTATAAAAGAAAATTCTCGGTAAGTCAATATATCTCTAAGGTAGTAAAATACGAAGCGTACAAGATTATTTTTGCATTTTCGATATACGCAAGTCCCGCGATAATAAAAACAATTCCTCGTCGCGAGAAACAACACACGGCTCGCGCATGGCGTTTTTCTAATTTCTGCACGCCACTGCATCTCTTCGCGGCAAGATTTACAGCGGCCGCAATTTTTTCTCCATCCGTAGATTTTCGCGGCGAAAAAAAGGAGCGGCCTTCCACCTGGAACCACCTGGAGAGCGCGGCTGTAAAAATTACGCCCCGACACACGCTACGGCGCGTGCATAAAATTACGCGTGTAACGTGACAGTCGCGGCAGATACGTACGCTGTGATTTTCGTAATGGCGCGAGCAAACCGAATTTGCACAGATGATAAATTCGTAACTCGAATTGACGTAGGTAAATCCAAATCTGATTTGCAACGGAAACGACATTACCCATGACATTATCGGAGTCGCGCAAAAATCAGTCGTGATAAAAGATAAATTGGCGATATTAATAAATGGCAGTGTTGATGCGATAATAATGACTGTTTTATTTCTTTATTTAAATTTTATTATTATTTTTTTAAATTATTTAAATTAATTAATTTTGTAAAAACTTATTTTAGCTTCAGAAAGTAGCGTGACGTGTATAACAATAATATGTTCGCTGTATAATTTTTAGAGCTCGACTTTCCATTCTACTTATAATTTTTGTCATGTTGAATTCTGATAACAAGATCGATAGTGAGCGCGGCGCCGCCCATTTCTGAATTGAGTCCTCCTCATAATTCTCCTTTCAAACGAAATTCGAGTATGGCATGTAGCCAACGTCCTAAGTTCGATCGTAAGAAGCAAGTTTTGTCAGAAGCAATTCAAACCATTTTTACACGAATAAAGTATGGCCAAACAATTCTCGCAGATAGTACAAAGGCCGTAATCCCTATTAGAAATCATTCAGGAATGTTCAGGTTTATTAAATCGCCGCTGCCCCCGCGCTCAATCCTATTTTCTAAATTAATTCGATGCAATTTTACTACTTTCAAGGTGTAAAAATTCAATGAAAGACAGTTGACGGATATGTTACACAAATAATTATTCTTGAAGAGCCGGTTGCTCCAACCTCTCGGTTTAACTAATAGCTGATTTGACAAATACACTGAGAAAAATGACGATTACGTTTTCCGATTAAATTATGGATACACTGTTGAAAAATTTGTGTTAAATTTAACAGATATTACACACGTTCCAAACGGTCCACACCAATTTTTGCGTTAATTTAATATAATATGGATGTGTTAAATAATCACACTAATACTCTGTTAATATTTTCACACAATATAAATGCAGATCTTAAAATGATTTGAAATAAATTTTGTGTAAAATTAACATATTTTCAATGACAAAGTGAATTCAAAAAATGTAACTTTTACATTTTACAGATGTAATAAGTTAAATGACGGTTCGATCACCATTTTATTCTGTAAATTTTGACAGATAAATTTTGTTACTAATAATATCGAACGTATGTATTGCGTCAGTTTAAAAATAAGTACACATTGTGTTGTTTTAACATTTATTTTCAGTTACTTTAATACTTTTACATTTGAGGTCAATTAACACAAGAGCAATATGTTAAATTAACACACGAATGTGTTAAACATTAAACACAAAAATTTTAACCGGCATTTTTTTAGCAAGAAGACACAAATTTTCCAACTGTGTACATCCGATGAAATTTGATCGAAAGACCGGTCACATTTTTCGTCGGTTAGACAATTTAATCGGTTATATCCGTTTGTTATTATGTAATTGGATTATCCGATTATACTAAATCATTTTTCTCAGTGTAGTTGAATCATATATGTCTTTATCTCTTTAAGAAACGGTAATTCTGTGATCAAATATGAATTCACATATTAAGATATTGAGCTACTTACATCTTGCTCGGGTCTACAAATTGGCGTTCTCGGTTCTTATTCGATATACGTCTTTGCTTTTCCTTCAAATTACGCAAAGACGGGTGAATAATTTAGCTAATAGTCATCTTACCAAGAGGGGCAACCGGCCTTAAAGCATTCAATGAACGAAACGAGTCGCGTAACATTCGCCGATGCTCGTTTGTCTCGATTAAATTTCAAGGAACGGAATACACATTTTTGCGACGTTAAATATTTCGAAATTATTTCATAGCGATCACGGGCCAACGTGCGGGCCTGTTTTTGCGTCTTTGACGCGCGCCGAGACTGCCGGCGCGTAAACAAGGTCAACCGCGTTATCATTCGCACGGGAACGCTCGAGCGGGCAGGTAGTGCCGCGAGTCTGCGTGCCGTAGTATCACTCGAATCGCGATCGTTCTTTCTGAACGATTAACAATTATTGGTTCGGTCTCTAAATCGCGATCGGCCATCCGTAAGCGTTTAGTATCTAAAGCGACGGCTATTGTCAAAGCGGTGCATTCCGCGCGGTTTATTCGTAGAGAAAGAAATCGAACGGACACTGGACGGGGACCTCGCGCTGCTATTTCGCGAGCATATACGGCCGGCATATCTTTAAAGGCTTCTTGGATTCGAGCGCGGTTATCCTCTATCGAACTTTTCAATGGAGGAGACGCAGGCGCGTCCGCTACTTTCCAGTTGAAAGCGCGAGGCTCAGTGTACGTATCAAGTTATTCAAGTGACAGCATGCCGTATTTATTAACTTGTGACGCAAGAAATTAGAATATTCAGCGCAATTTGGACATCTCGTACGACAAGACTGTCTCGCGCGTACGGCTTTTACGTTTATCTTCGCGCGGCAACCGGCGCGCTGTCTCGCGCACATGGCTGACGTGCCATCATTCACGCGGCGCGAGCCGTTTTGTTTGCTTCTATCGTTCCACGAAACGCTATCATTCTTACACTGTACAATTAGCGACCGATCCGTATAATTAATTAACTTCTATGATACGCCAATCGCGGCGCTTGTTACACCCATCGATCTATTGGAATCCTTTCACATTCGTGCGCTGTGCGTTGATTTACGAGGATCGAGTATCCGCGGGTATCGAGCTCCGAACCATTTTCTTTACACCATTTTTACTCGCGTTCGAGCTTCTCGCATTGACGATTAGTACGTGCAATCGTTACAGAGTGTTTTCGCGAAGTGTTGAGCGTGCGCGAGTGTATTGCGGAAGAGGAGCAGCGGAAAGACGAGACACGCGGAAAGGATCAAGGGAAGCATCGAACGACGACGGAACAATCATGGTGAGTGTCATGTATCATTTATTTGTGCGTGCGCCGAGTATTTGTTTAAAACATTAGCTACTTCGAACTATAATTTCGGCGCGTCACAAATCGCAGCTTGTCAAATTATTTATTTCAATTCGCGGCAATGGATCCGTAAAAATTATGTGTATCGAGCTGCGAACCATTTTCCTTACACCATTTTTACTCGCGTTCGAACTTCTCGCATTGACGATTAGTACCAACCGTATTAGACGCAACCGTCACGGAGTGTTTTCGCAAAGTGTGTGTAACAATAATCGAATGTGTATAAGATGTGTATTTAGATCTTAAGTGCGTATTAAGAGCATTAGAGAAAAGAGTATATGTACATATAAAATTTTATAGATCCATTGTCTAGAAATGGACAGGCGACAATAAACGGAAACGAAAAACAAGGTGAAGCTGCGTATTAAAGATAATCTAGCCTATTTCAATGACATTTGAAATATTTTATATTCAAAACAGCCGATACTCGAATAGCTACAGAATAGCTGAACAATTTAGTGTTTGCCAGTAAACAAGAAGCAAATAGCTCGGGTACGTAATCCGACGGTAAATTTTCGGTTTTGCGATAGTATTCGAAGCTTTAGCCTTTCGGAATAGGATTATGACACGTACATAGCGACTATTAATTACCGCGGCCGCGTGTATTTACAATTAAATGGAAGAATTAATGTGTTAAAGTAGAAATGTATCAAACCTTCATTATATAATCGGACATTTACAAGCGAGCGCGCTGGATAGAGATACGTAATTATACACTTAAGATGTAAACGTAGAAACAAGGATATACATATGCACAAAAACCAAAGCTAAAGATCTCTTTTTCAATCTCGGGGGATCCAGGGATCCGATCGTAGGAAGATGATCAACGGGCTCATCACCTGGTCGTATTCTAATTTCAGAGTTGGGAAAGTTACTTTACAAAAGTGTCTAATTACAGTTACAGTTTCTTTTTCGCCAAGAATGTAACTAGTTACAGTTACAAGTTACCACACGGAAAAAAACATTTAGCTGCTGTAGCTAAAACTTAGCAAAATAGGGACATTTTAGTTGTGATAGCTCAATATTTTGCTACGACAGCAAACCGTTTGCTGTCGCACCTAATGCAATAGGCACAGTAGCAAAATATTGAGCTATCACAACTAAAATATTAGCTGTCCCTATTTTGCTAAGTTTTAGCTACAGCAGCTACATTGTTTTTTCCGTGCAATTCTGTAAAGTAACGCGTTACAGTTACAGTTACTCAACAAGCAACGAATCGTTACTTTGCGGTTACTTTCTTGCAGTGAGAAAATAAAAATATTAAATCTGCATTTGAACTGTAAAGCGTCGGTAAAAGCGGTTATGCGCAAATGCACGGCCTAATGCAATTTGTGGGGGTGTAAAAAACATATAAAGTAGACTATTAATATAGCTATTAAATTAGCTGCTAGTTATTGAAAAAATGTAACTGAGTTAAGTTACAGTTATAGACGAAGAAAAAGTAACGAAGTTAAGTTGGAGTTACCAAACTTTAACTTCGTTACAAGTAACGAGTTACTTCCCAACCCTGTCTAATTTCTATCGGGTAAGACGACCGAATTCGGATCGGATACGAAATGCGAGTGAAAAATCTGAGCGGCTAATAAGCGACATTTTGAAGTAATTCACTTAAAATTGCGCTCTTTCATGTTCACAACTTTATGCTGTATTGCCGACATCATCAAGAGGCATCGGTGTGTCTTTATGTCGCTTATTAGCGACTCGTCAAATTGTCGATCCGCATTTGGTCACCTTACCCTGCGTTCGATCGTTATTAATATGGAATCTCGTTGACAAAACCACTCCTGCTCAAGATCTCTGCTGTTTTGTAATTATGTCTCTCGCAGAATTTTTGAATCCTTTGACAAGCTTCCTCAAGCATGTCGCCTGGCACAGTGATTACCAGCCTCATGTAAGAGCGATAGTCGAAGCACTGGGGAATCGAAATAGAAAAAGATTAGAACAATCACGTTATATTTCTGTATGCAACTATAGCAAATTTTCTAATTCTCACTTGTTGTATGCTTTAATACGCAGAAAAATCTTCTTCGAATAAATTATTAGAGAGCGAAAAATGAAAACACGAGTGATGCGATTGCAAAATTAGAGATGATAAATTACGTTTATCTGCGATATAAATCAGGTTATGATTTTTAAATCTGCAATTTGAAGAATGCAAAGAAGTAAAATAAAAATTGATTGGCTCATGAAATTTTATGAGTTCGAAAACATTACAATAAATTTTACAAGCACTTTAATGTAATTTGTTACGGAATCTATCAAATTTTGCATTATCACTTTTAATTAATAAAAAGGATTTATATCCTGCTATTTATCCAGCTTGACGCTTTTGATTTTGCGCAATATTTTTTAACGATGTACGCGCCAGCGTTGAAAGTCGGCGCGCCGTAAAATTCAATTTAAAAAGCTCGCGCATTTTTGCACGGATTTGAGAGTAATTAGAAGATTTTTAACGGTCAATGAATTGATAATCTAAAACGTCAGAAGCGCAAACCTGGCCGGGTAGGCAAAACACGGATTCTTCCATTAACAGCCGCTGCACGAATTCCAGATCGGAATTAAATTCCGGAAAGTACGGTAGATCGATGTAGACCTGGAAATCGATTCAATAATTTATAGCTCGTAAATTGCAGTTGGACCCACCTTACTGATGGTATTTGCATTAACGCATAAATAGCGGTCGTGCATCGACTAATTGTACGACCTATTTATCGGGTGCTCGATTAACATTTACGGCTTTAGCCCGCGAGCTACAGACTGTCAAACAATGCGCTGTGATTCTTGAAATTATGCAAGGGTGCGGCCGAGCTAATTACAATGGGAATCATTACCATCATGTACATCGCCCCATCCGGCATTATCGGCTTCAGTCCCGGAATTTTTATTATGCAGTTGTATGCCAACTTGGAATGTGACTGCAACATGACAAGTTTAATATAAATATTTTACGACAATTCGTATATTTAATATATTGTTTTTTTATCACGATAACTCACGTATAGAACACGGATAACATCGTCGAAAAACTTCTGCGGCGTTTTTCGTAGTATCATGGGCAAGGCACCTTGAATAATAGTATTGCTGCCAATTATTCGCTGGCTCAAGCATTGTAAACCTTTGCGAATCTAAGGGATAACAAAACTAAGCTTATTAAAGTGTTACGCTCGTACTTTACATTGCATTAATATCAAACGTGACGCAACACGCAGTACTACGTTTCTTTAAATTCACGTTAAATGATCGGTGAAATTGTGTTCACGAATGCAGAATTCTATTTCTTATTTTATTTACTCTACTTACTTTATGTTATATGAAAACTATTCACGTATATATTATATATAGAAACCAGATATATAAAATATATTCTTTCATACAACGTACTGAAGTAAAAATACGACACTTCGGTAAATTTATTTTACGTATAAATTTAACAGTCGAACCGAAATAAATTGTGTCACACGTATTGCTGGTGAGATAATAAAATTTGTTTTATTTATAAAAGTTTTAAAAGAAACTCTGAGAAAGGTTATATGTCAGGCTTTTTCGGGATCCGTAGACGTAAAAGTTCTCGAGAGCACATTCGGTGCTTGATCGGGTCGAGATCGGTATAAAATTACTTCCAAAAACTTGACAGTAGATACTAGATTTCGCGCAAACTTCCGAACACCGTGGAATATCGAAACGCGCTGCATATCGACAGAGTATTTACCAGCTTGTCCGATACTCGCCCGTGGGAGAACATCATCAAACGATCGCACAATCAACCTTTTCTTTCAAAGCGTGACACAAAAAAAACGTACGATGAAACATTCCATATGTAGATACGTAGACAAAAATAGAAAGAAACGAAATATGTAGATACGTAGACAAAAATAGAAAGAAACGAGATATTCTTATATCTTACTAAAAGAAGAAAAAGACAGAGAATTAATCGTTCAATTATAGGCTTGTTTTCTGTGGCTACGCTGGTGAACAAGTGCAATAAATTACAGTAAGTCAAGTATATTTTTTCTCATTCTAGCTTACTGCGCTAGTTCACCAGTGCGGCAATAGAAAACAAGCTTTTTGTTTCAGTTATAGTTATATTATAAAATTATAAAATGTCAATAAAAGTCTTCCATTCAGACCGTGTCGCGTAGGATGTAGTTTAATACGTCATAGAAAAAATTATGATAAAAGATTTTTCGTACTATTGTTTTCTTCTTTTTTTTTTGCGTGCTATCTAAGGCATGTATATGAAACTTGTCGATTGGATTTTCCTATCACAGAACTCTCATCTTGATTACTTGCCTGAGACCGCGACTTTGCAACTCTTGCAAAGTTATTAAAGAGCACAGAAATATATCCGACAGAGACGCGGCGATTTAAAGTTAGTTGGAGGCGACGCCGCGAATGCAAGACAAGGAATTAAGGGCACGGACGACCAAAGGGCCGATTGCCAAAGGGCCGAACTTTAATAGCGGAATAAAGTTTAATCAACGAAATTTAATCCAATCCGCAGTATGCGGCGCCGAACTCGTCGGGACATGCTCGGGCCTCGTTACGGAAACAATACCGTCGGAGAAGCAATTATTTTCAGGCTGTCACGTATTGTACCACGAGCGTTTACCCACCTCGGCTTCCAGCACGTTCTGACGATCGTGGATTATTATCCAACCCATACGCCAGCCTGGGACTAAAAATCTGCACAGAAAAGAAAGATTAAAATTGAATTATTATCGTCAGATGCCATTTTATACATCTTGAGAGTTTACTTTAACTTCTAAATTAAACAAAGAGACCATACACATTTCTCCCGGTACGAAAGCAATTATTTAATTGTATAATAATTGAAAAATAGCTATACGGCTAATATTAAAGGTATAAAATGAATTTTAACCTTCGATATTACGGAAAAAATTAGTCATATTTATTATTTTCTTAGGGTCGATTAGAAATTTTCGGCTCCTTAGTACGACTGTTTGATTGCGATGGAAAAATGAAATGGGCTTTTTATAAACGAGCTATGGGCGGGAGCTACCTTTATTGCGACATGCAATTCCATTATTTAGCCATGCGGTACGAATATCGTACAAAGCGTCTGGTGTACAGTGCTATTCATTAATGCCTGGACCTGCATTTTTATCATCACTTTTTCCATCTGTACAAATCACTGAGTTTCAGGCTGTGCGTACGCGCTACCACGGACTTCTACAGAAGTCCGTGTGCGCTGCAGCCTGAAACTCGTCGATGTACTAATAGATGAGAATGGAGATTATGAAAATGTGAATCCTAGTAAAACTGAGGCCCAGGCATTAATGAATGGCACTGTGCATCGCAATTTTAATAAGTGCAAGACACATATTTTTTATTTTCCGAGATAATTCCTTTATTTTTGATACTAAGAAGAGACTCAAAGAGGAGTAGATTAATGTATTATTCCTAACTGTATTAATACTGTTATGGATATGTACCAATGATGCATTAAGATAATATATTTGCATATTTATTTTGCCTGCATAGCATTTGCGCCTTCCTCTTGATTTCTCTTCTCAATTTGTGTATTCCTGTTAAATAAAAAAAGCACTAAATATAGCCGCATAAATTCGTTTTCGAACAATTTATTCGAAGCGAATTATAACACTTTATAACGAATATCACATACAAAAGCTCTCTGGGCAAGATTTAATTGCTTTTGGAAATTCTCATTTTAAGATAACAGCAATTTGCTACGCGATAATTATTAAATGATCGCGTTATAACGTATCTGCCGTTCACTTATTCATTGATTCACCTCTACCGTTCGTTCTACTTTTTTTTTTTATCTCATACTCTCGCGTGTATCGCGCGCATCATTGAATTTTACATGAGAAATGCGATTCGCCGTTGATACCGAAGTATCGCGGGCCGCGCGAAATCTGCGGCGTGTAAAATACACCATGCTGTGCAATGAAAGAACTTGACGGCAAACTGCAGGAACTCGTTTACAACTGCTATGACGAACGGCCGTAAATTAAGTTGCGCTTCGAATCTGATATCATTAGAATAATGGGGGCATAATCTCGCGAAACTTGGGAATACCCGTCCTCTTGGTTTTCATCGCGACGCTTTATTCACGCTCAATCAATCCCCCTCGTCCTATTTTCCAAAAAACCGAGCGAAAAATTTCACAGCGGAGCGCTTCCGTCCCAAGGATTCCTTCCGTCAACTTCACAATCGCTAGTTTCGTTCTGTGCTTTTCACGATGAAAGATAATAGAAGGTAACGTACTGAAAATAACTGAAAACCCGACGTAAGGCGAGCTGTCGGCGCCGCGCATATTCCGAATTATTTTAAAATGATTATCATCACATTAATAATGTCGGAAACAATTGCCGAGACTATTTCTCTGCTATTTTCCCCGAATACGTAAGCATTGTTTAAATTTCGCCATTTTTAACGTTTTTAGGAAAGTATTTTTTGGGGGTGAAACGTTAAAAGCGCGGAATTTCTTCATTTCACGCCGATCTTTGACTCTTGGCCTTGGAAAAAAACAAACCTTTTAGTAACGCGACATTTTCAAGGGGCAAATAAACCGTGAACCATCTTGTTTATATGAAAGTCGCATGTTACACGCGTGAAAAGTGTGGAATGTTACGGAAAATTTTGCGCCTGCGTGTTGCAGCGTCAAAATGCAGGAGTTTTATAATCATTTTACGTGTTCCGACGTACCTTTTAGTTAGTCCGCTGCACGATAAAATAGGAACTTCGGTCGATAGAGACGCTAACGAGTGGAAAGTCCGTCCTGGAAATACCTGAAAACAACGGTGAGGTGAAAAATGTATTTGCGCATAATAGGCACGTATGTTTCGCCTGCGTGCAAAGGCGTGCGACGCGAAATAATGCAAAACCGTGACGGTCAGACGTTGCTCCGTCTCGTCGAATTTTTCAAAATCGTTACTGTCCCTATATGCCAGTGGATGCAACGTTTTCGCGCTTAAAGCCATAAAAATGTACGCGTTGAATTCTTTTTCTTAGAAAAAACTAAATAATACAATTTTCTCTCATTGTGTAATTCTTACATGAAAGTAAAATCCTTTCGCGGATAACGTCAGTAGGCAAAACGACGCTGAAAACGCCAAATTAATGTAATTTAATTCCTTGCATTGCTTTTATTAAATGTTTAATCGCTGTTTAATTAAATATTTTCTCGTTAACAAATGAACTGAACATTCTTGTACGCGCGATAAACGAGAGAAATTTTATTCTTGACGCGATAACGAGGTGCAACGCGCCCCTTCCGGATTCGGGGCGCCGTGCATATCCGTTCTGAATTAATTTCGCACCCCCTCTCGAACAAAACGGCGCGGCGCATGCTTTATTTGTCCCGCAAATGAAACGATTTGTCACTTGGGCAGTAAACGTAATATTCGGGCACGTACCATGTGCTCGTAAATCTCATCGGCTATAATGGGTACGTAGTAACGAGCGGCAATGTCGAGAATGTCAAGTATATGGTCGCGACTGAACACGGAGCCGCACGGGTTCGACGGATTGTTTATAACAATCGCCGCCGTTGACTCGTCGATTTTCTCCTTCAGGTCGTCCAGATCGATCTCCCAGCCGAGCTCCGGCTAGAAACGATTAATATTAATAGGATGCATTCGCGACAAGCCCTCTCGAGTCTTCATCTTTCTCCCCGTCCCTCCTCTCTCCCTCTCTGCCGCATGATATTACGTACTAGGTGGCTCAAAAGCCAGGCGTTCTCTTACGTTTGTATGTTCTTCGACAATTCTGGGCGAGACTTTAACGTGGCAAAAATCTTTTCAACGCTTGTACCGCAATTTTTGTATTAATTTTGTAACGGTAGGTCTTGTAAAATCCGCGTAAATGCCCTTCTTAATGGAATTTTAATTTAGGGGGGATTATCTATGCAAATATTATATTTAATACGGAATTAAAACGTGACGAAAAACAAAATTTCGTCGAGGAAAGATTAATAAGTCTGCCCAAAATATTCGCGATTATAAAGTTGTAATGCGTGGACGTTCGCTTTACGAAATAATACATAAAATAATACAATGTTCTTAACATGTGCATACGTGACGGCGTCGTCAAATGAATACGTGTATTTGCATCTATTTTTCACCAAACGTGTTTGCACCTATTTCTCGCAAAAGTTTACAATTTTACTAATTTTCAATAGCTCTTTAAATTTAATTGCGTAACACTTTATATAATTATTGGTATATAATTGGCATACAGTAATTATTACCACAATTGTATGGTTTCCTAAATTATTTTCCAACTTGTAGATATAAACTTACTAAATAACGAAACTTATTTAATCTAATTAAAACTTTTTGTAGCAATTAGAAACATTATAACCGTTTAAATAATTTTCCATTTATACGTCAGCATTTTCTTCCAAAATTATATTTCGAGAATAAAGCAGTGCCAAATTATTTTTTATACATAATACATTGTTATTCGAAACTTTTAAATAAATGGCATAATGTAAAAATAATATTTTTAATGAAAAATAAAGAGAAAAATATTTTCACAAAGAACCATGAAAGCACGTAGCAACAAAAGCGGGACATTTACGTGGATTTTTGTAAATTTATTGTTCATGGGTAAACAGAATACATACATGGGTAACAGAATTTGCGATTGCATGACTGATGTATGAGCATACAAGCAATGCGCCAGGATTTACAAATTCCTTGCGCATTTCGCCTTATACAGAATTAAAGCTACGGCATTGTGGTTGTAATTACTTCTAGAACATAAAATAGTTCGCAACGACGTAGAGGGAAAGAAAGAGAGAGAGGGAGGAAAGTGAAACGTTAAAACTCGCCGCCAAGCGAAGCTGAAAAGAGAGGAAACTACCTCATTAGCACTTCGGTTTGAAGATCTCCGAGCGAAAGCACTGATTTATCGTGTAAATAGCGAAGAGCGATTTAAATATGATTTCGTGCCATTTAAAGTCATTATGCAATGACGGCACCAATTGGCTTAAAGTAAGCTACTGTAAATGCTTTGCAAATAAAAGCGCGATAAAATCTTTGCAACGTTTAACATTGACGTCATACAAGTAATTATAAGTTACGAAATTAGAGCTAATAATGAAAATTAATTATTTTTCGCAAGCTAAAAGTCTGCTTAATTTTTTTTAATTTATATAAAAATAACGTTTAAACTTCAAAAAGTGTCGAAACTGTAAATGTAAATTTATACATTATGTATGCCAAATATGCGCAATAAATATTTCTATGCTGTTGCACAATGCAAGAATTTAATGAAACTGTAGATGTTGGCAACAAAGTATTGTTTCGATTAATTCATTGATAATTTGTTGAAACTCGGTCGTTGTTTTTCAAATTTACTTATTGCATAGGAATTACAGAGTGCAAAAGGGTATTTACAAATTTATTTTGGCATCTATTGCTTTACATGTTTACATTAACGTAACAGAATCGAATAAAACCTTCTCCCTTAATTGCAAATGTTACTTTGAAAGGTTAATAATTGTATCTTCTGGCATGCATTTAAAAGAATATACGTAATTGCTCCGCTAAAAGATTTCGGTCTATCCTACCCTCGCGAACACACTAAATAAACGAGACATTATGCGCCCTCATTGTTTTTCGCAAATGAATGCATTTACGCCCTAGGTGGTTAATAAATTTAAAGATACCAACGAAATGGTATATTTTTGCATATAGAGCTGCTTACTAAGCCCGTCTGTACTGCTTGAAGTGCGTTTTGTAATAACGCGTAACTTAAGAAATATAGTAGACGCTGTTATGCACGTTTCTTATTAATGACACTGCAACACGGTAGCGCATACAGCACTACCGTCTCTTTTACAAGCGCGATTATTACAGAGTAGCCACTGTGCTGTGCGATATAGATCAATATTTTTCTCGTTATCACGCGAATATGAAGCTGATACCCGACCCTATTCGTTGACAAACGCGCGATGTTAAATAAATAAGTTAAAAAGTATTAATCGATTCAATATATTAAAAATTAATGCCAATTTGAGCACGCGCGTGGAAGAACATAATATGTTGAAAAAGAATTGGGACAATTGAAAATTTATTTTTACAAACGTCTCCGACTATTTGACTTCGACCCTCCGACTCTTTTCTCGAAATAATTATTTCATGTACGTTCGAAATATTCATAAGAAAACTCTGATCTCCGATTTGCATACTCTTTAAGTCATCGCGGAATAATTGCTAGAAGTTTAAGTTGCGTTTTGCACCTACATCCAGAAAAAAGATTTAGCTAGGTTAAACAAGTGAGATACGTTGAAATCATGTCTCTTTGAATCTACCAAATTTTTATTTGCTTGTGCTAAAACGTTTGCTAGATCTGAAGAAATAGATATGAATTCCCTTAGAAATTCCAGCCTCGAGCGAATAAAATTCTGGTTAAGGTAGAGAAGTCTTTTCTTTGAGATTAAAGAAAAGTTCAGTAAGGTTCAGAATCCAAACAAATTTGCTTGATCTCAAACAGACTTTTTTTCTGGGTGCAGCAGAACGTGCAGATCACTCTGATTTTCTTTTTCGAGAAGAATACTCACACGTAAATTATATGTTTTGACTTTAATACCAAGCCCCTCCGCCAGCGTTCGATATATAGAAAAACCGGGTCGTGGAATTAGGATGTTTTGGCCTTCTCGAGCTAAAGCCGTAATGCACAAGTCGAGTGCGCAAGAACATCCACTGCACAGGATTACGTCCTATGACAAATATAGAGACATGAGATGTTATTTCATTTCCCCGTGTCGTGCCTTTATTTTTGCCATATTAAATGCAGAACGGAAACGAAAAATAACGAAAATTTTAAGATAAAAAAATTTTTTTTCACGTTTCCATACTTTCGTATTTTTTTAACAGATTTACTTGACGCGATAAAAAAATTCCAACGTCCTGGTATTAAAATAAAAAGATACATCTATATGATAAAAGCCCTATAGCTTTTATTTTATTTAATAAAGGGTTGGAGCTATAAAAACTATTGCTATGAAAGCTACAGCTTTGCCTTTTTTATTAAACGAAATAAAAGTCGACAGATTACTCGAATATCGCAAGAATTTTACTACAGGTAAATAAAGTGAATGCGATGTTTACGTGCTAAGCGTAATGGCATTTCGGTACGAAAGAATATGATTAAAAATGTTTTAAGGAAAAGTAGGATATAATAATATTTTTCTACAGCGAACTTCAAATTTCGCCATTGTTATCCACGGCAAAGTTTTGCCATATAGTTTAATATCTGCTCGAATAATTTCATAAAGCATTTGTAAAACAATTGGAAACCAACTTGCTTCGTTCGTGAAAAAATATTATGTATTGATAGCGTTATATCAACGCATCTCTTTTCCCATTTGCAATTTTCGCGGCGTGAAAATTCGCGACACCAAGTTAATTAACTATCTTGAGGATTGTAAATACGTTTACTATTCGGAATATGCAATCGGCCACGTCGTCCCCTTATAAAACCCACGTCGCCTCCCTTTCTCACGGCTGGAAGAATTTACGGCTGTTATTAATATTAAAATAACTCGGGCAAAATTTGACTTGCCGCTATTCCGCTTGAATAAGTGATAACAAAATTGTTGTTGAATAAGTAAAGTATGGTTTAAACACGTGACGAGAAATCCCAACGTGTGCGTCAATGACTTAAAATTTGCTTGCGACACGTGTTGGCGGATACCAGCGACATTCGATACAAGCGCGTGTTAATCCTACCTTGGGATCGACTTTCACGAATTCGTTCGAGCTGTACTCGGCTACGGCTTCTCGCGCCTTCAGATAGCCTGCAAAACAAATTAAACGTCAGTCTCCGCGTTACCGGGCAAACATAATTGCATAAACTGTGCGATGAAAATGTCCGTTTATTAATAATTCGATAATTGTCATATAATAAGAAAGACATGCGTGTCGTACACATAAATTTAACGAGTGAACGCGATAGGTATTTATGGTATTGTTTCAATTATTTGTTCATACTCGCCTGGAAAATTGGTAATACGATAGGGCGCATCTGAACGAAACCCGTACGTCAACCATTAATTCGTCTCGCCATTTGTTTCATTATTTTCGTCGCGTTTTGAGATTTTCGGTAAACGAGATTTGGACGACGATTTTCCAGATATTTAAAGATCTTGTTACAAATTACCTGTGCTCGGTGCATATCCGTTGTATAATTGCGACGCGACGCTTTCTTGAACAGCCTCGATCACTTCCTTCGGTGGCTTTAAATTGCCGAAAGTTGTAGGGTCGCCTTAAAACAGAACGTACGGTAGAATTTCAAGGTTCCGGGGGTTGGAGAAAATCCCCGCGAGTATTTATTTGTTGATTATCGCGCAATTACGTAAACCGCGTAAATCCGATTCTCCGTCAAGCATACGCCACTATTATAATTTCGCGTAAACACCTAATTACACGTATGCCACGTCGTTATAATTGATTACTAGATTCAAACTAGGATAACCGTAGGAAAACGTTAGTTTGCAGACGCGTTGTCAAAGTGCAACGAAATATCCACCGTTCCGCTCGCATTCTGGATTGAAATTAATTAATTGTTTCCCGGAGGCTATCCCGCCGTAGTCAATCCTTGTTGCGAAATTTCTGTTACGCAGCTACGACGAAATAAAATCCAAGCCCCGCGAATGCCGCGAGATTTACGTAATTACAACTTTACCATTGTTAATCGGAAAGGATTGCGCTTCGACGGCGTTAATATTCAAGTTAATATTTTCCGATTATATTTCGCATTCCTATTGTAGCGAATGTCAATTAGCGCGCACGCGCACGCTGAATCCGTATCGAGTCGTCAGTGAATTATTAATTGCACGAGTTAATAACATATGTATAACAGAATCGTGTTTGGAATTTTTCAGTAATTTATTTTATTATTTTTTATTTATTTGCGTGGATACACTACATTGTACGACGAAATACACTGCAGATAGAGTATTTGTTCGACGGTTTTGCTTTTAGAGGAAAGCAATGAAGAAAAGGAAATGAGCTTTAATTAGATCTATTCGGTGAAACAGCTGCCTACATTTTAATCTTTCCGTTAATTTTATTAACGTTTTATCAACACATGTTACTACAACTTTTGTACGTTATTTTGTATCATTAACTCACATTGTACAAAAATTAATAGAAGTCTGCACGCGTTTCTTTTTACTGGATACACGCAAAGTGCACTTGCAATATCTTTTTCAGATAAAAGTACTTTTGAAATTTAATATGCATATTCCCCTTTCGGTAAAGAGAAAGACACATTTCTTGTTCTGCATTATCTTTTTCGCGCGATTAATAATTCAGCGATTCAAAGATTTTAGCGTATGTGCTACCAATTGATATTATGAAACTCGTAAACCAGTTTCAGAATATTTTTCGAACACAGTCAAATACCGAAACTTTATCGAAAACAACATTCGAGAGACGATGTACACAGCGTGTCCCAGAATTTGCACACGCGAAATGCAGAGTGCGATTCTATGCGGTAGAAGAAACAATTTTTTCCTGTAGCAGAATTGCATTCGAGTAGTTTTTAAACGAGAGCGGTTTAAAACTGACGAATGAACGCTCTTTGTAAGTTACGCATGAATCAGAAGCGAATTCAGGAATGCTCTGTATGCGCTGCATGTAGCGCGCTATCTTTTGGGTTTTTTTTTACAGAACAATTTCTGAACAAGAAATGAACTTTTACTTGCGGAAAAAGTCATCTTGAAATTTTCTGCCTTAAAAGAGACTGCAAAATTTCGAAATATTGCACCGACATTCTGTCATTATTATTGCACTTCTTATTTTAGCATTTATAAAAGTCACGAGTAGCACAGTAGAATGCCGTACGAAAATTCTCATGTCACTGCCATTCTATTTTCGACGCTGTAATCTTGCTCGAATTGCATATGTATAAAATAAAAAGAAGCTCTTGAAAATGTACACAGCCGCTGGCACATCCGATCGAGATTTGTATCGAAATATATTTAGATTAGCGTGCTCGTATGTCAGTTCTATTCTATTCCACTATAAAATTTGCTGAGGACGTTTTTCCAATACATTCTGACACATCCGCATTCTGCGCCACTTGTGTTCTGCAAATGTTAAGGGGACTCACACGTCACTGCCACCGCCTTTTAACTTTTCACCGCTTTTAAAACCCCACGCTGCATAGTTAAATTCGCGTGTCATGACAAAGGTTTGAGAAACTCGCTGAAGAATTAAGGAGGTTAAAAAGACCGGGGGGAATAAAATACACGATTAGTTCTCTCCGACAAACATTCTCGGTGCTTCACTTTTACGTGCTCGACTAGTTAGAATATCTTTTTCGTCTTTGTTAGTTTTAGATAAAACGATCTTTGGGAAGATACCGTTTAAAGAACGTATTTTTATTTATCTAACTTAACACGTAGCTCTCTCGATAGTTTATTAAATATTATATCATTAAATACCAATGCTTTTTCTAAAAAGCAAACCTAAAGTCAACATTTTCATTAATTTTTAACTAAAGCTAACATTTTTTTCTGAACTATTCTATCAGTTATTTCTCAACTATCAGTTATTTCTGCAGTATCTAATGAAGTCAGAAAAGATACAACCGGTCATATCAAAGACATGTTCTTAATACTCGCTGTTTAGAATCTTCTAACATAAGAAAACAGCATTTGAAATAGCACTATTTTTTCTCTTTAAAGTTATTAGACAGAAGAACTCAATCAGGTCAAATATATTGCAATTATTCTGCCGCTTTGGAAACTGTTATCCGATGAACCTTTGAAAAAAATTTTTCTTCTAGAAATACGGCAGAGAGAGAGAGAGGGGGGGGAGAGGGAGAGAGAGAGAGAGAGTTTGACAAACGAAATTGTCTAAACTGCACATCGCATGTTTGCGTATCAATATTTTCCAGAGCTCTGCGTATTAAGTTATTACTTCTGGAAGCGAAAGGGGCGGAGGAAAGCTCAGAAACGAAGTTAGTTCACATTTTTAATCGGATTATTAGAAAAGTAACAATGAAATACACGATAAGTATGAACGTGAAATACTAATACGAATGTAAAAATTTATATCCTACGTACGTGTTGTACATGTATCACAATAATTGTGTTAAAAGTTAGATAGTTTAGAATCGCGGTAAATAACATAACCGTTGAGACTATTGGAACGAGACACATGCAAGTGGTTGAGATAAGATAGGTGCAAGAGGTAAAGTGTCGTCATTATTTCCCGTAGAAAGTCCCGTCGTGACAACGTTGCGATACATTTCATTCCAAATAACTGTAAAAGAGACTACCGAAATTTGATGCAACGAATGGATCGTGGAATGACCGTAAAAATAAATTTGACCGACCCGAAGACGGCGCGCGTATAAACTTACATGGATATTCCACGCGTCTTTTTTTTTTTTAACACGCAAATAGGTCGCGGTTCGATATTTCCAACCCAATTCCTGCGGGACTCTAGAGTTGCTCAAAATGCGCTTTTTCATATTCCTGCATATTTCCCTGGCATGGGATATTTGACCTTCCATTTTTCACCAATCCGTCAAACTTTTTTTTCACATGAAGCGCCAGAGATCATGCATATTGAGGATCTAACCGTATTCGCGGAGAACAGCGAAAGTTTGCAATTTGTATGCATTTACCCGCGTTTACCGGCAAAGCCCGGTACGCAGAGCCTTTGTAGGTGGCTCTCTATTTGCGTGATGTTTTTCACAGAGCGCCGCAAGTAAAACGAATGCAATTAATAATGTTACTTTACAGCCTTATGAATTTAATCTTCTATATATTAAGTGCTGAATTTAATTAACGCTAAACCGTCCTCGTATACCAGCAACGCTAACAGTAAGACAAATAATAATTTCACTTGGACGTACGCGTCATATTTTTGTAGTAAAAAAAAACACACACGACGTATAATTTCCCCCTTTATTTCATAGGGAAATGATCGACCGCGTTAATCCCGCTATTCTTGTCCCGCGTAAAAAGAAAAAGAAAGAAATACCTGCTTGATTGCACCATCACGATATATCACCTCGTGCTATTCCGTCTTTCATTTCTTGTAACGTAAGAGAGTTGTTAGGAAAATGTTTAAAAATCACGCGATATATAGTCGAATTTGGTATATTAAAAGTATCTCGAGAATGCATGTGAAATTGTTTGAAATGTTTGCAATTTTATAATGTAAAAGCCCCGGAATCAAATATAACAATTTCTAAAAAAGTTGCTTTCACTTTGACATGCGAAAAATAACTGCATGTGTCATAACCGTATCTACCTCTTGTCATAATCATTATTTCATAGTTTTCTACGATAGAGAAATCCCTTCAATGGTCTTATCTCCCAAAAAACATTCCACGATAATGCAAGCTAAAATTAACAGGCGATAAGAGCCAGCACGGGTTATTGGGTGTGAAACGAGTATAAGTTTACAATAAAAAATATACATTTGAACTGTCAGACGTTTCGATCGACTAATGCGATTCTTTTCAATGACATTATAACAAAAATTAATCGAGGCGATAATACTTGAATGTAATTCCTCGCAAATATAAAGAATGCAGAGCATCTACAGTATCTGCAATATTTTGCACCGCGTAGAAAAATAACACATTGGTAAAAATGGTTCTACATCGAATTACAGCAAATCAACGATATTTTTCGTATTTTCGAATGTTTTCCCACAAACTTTCCCTCTCTCTGCTGCAGAGTTTCTAAAAAATTAAAATAGGCATCCTCTATTGGTTTCATGGTGAATTTATTGCCCTTGGATTGAAATCTGTTTAATGGAAAATTCATTGTTACATCGTGTAATTGTGTGAATGAAGATTAGTGGTTAAATTTTGATATTGAAAACCTGCTATCTCATATTAGAAGCCTTTTTCGTAATAGAGAACTTTCTTCTATGTCTTATCGTGCATACCACTGCTCATAATTCAACAATAATTTATGATCATAAGCATATATGATAAAAAATATGGTGTAATATGATCAAATAAGATTATATCCTCTCGTGCGTAGCATGTTACACATTTTTTACTTTACGTTACCTGGGCATTTTACTAGATTTATATAATTTAAAATGTTTTTATATAAGGCAAAAGTTTAAATTAAATGTAATTCAGTTTTTACAAACATTTTTAAAAATTCAATTTTTAATATTTCCTTTTGAAAATAATTTTTAAATTGTTTTGAAATCATATCGTTCTTCTTTTGCAAACACCATAAATGCGTTATTCATTAAATTTTGGAAATTTACAACACAATATAAAATGTATTATAATTAAATAGTTTTAGAGATCAAAAATTTTTTAAGTTTCCTCTTTTTCATGCTACGCTACATATCGTTTTGGCATAAAATAATGGCAATAAAATTTTGGTTAAGAAATCATTTCTTTGAAATTAAATGAAAGTCTAGCGAAATCAAAATTCAAAGAAAATTTGTTTGATGCAAATTGATCCCATTTGATGCAAAATCTGCACAATGTAATGCAATATTATTATAAAGAAAGTTTTATATCACTTCACCGCATGTACCTATGCTCTTTCGCACGCTTATCGTTGCGTGGTTTGAAGAAAAGAAAGGTTCTTCTCTCATAGAGAAGGGGCAAGTGTGTTCGGCGCCAGACTTACGATAAGACGATTCTTACACGTGGAATAAACTCACCGATGGACAACGCAATCATCGGCTTGTTAGGATTGGGTTCGACAACGATGTTCTCTACGATCGACCTTATGGGATTATGCGTGTTCCGGGCGATATTGGAGGCGCCAACGTTCCAACATTCACGAAAGCTGGGTACGGACATCTTGTCGCGCGCGAAGAAGCTTCTCGGGAGCTTGATCTGCCGATTTTGCCGGTAGACAATCAGCGGACACACGTGTGCTCCAAAGGGACACGTTTACGTCGCTTGGCTCGCGGGTGTACGTTATCGAAACGATCGAACGGTTCTCGTAAAACTGATGCACTATCGACACGATTGACGATTCTTGTACAGCTGGTTCTCCGTCACTGAGCCTCGATCGAGACAGCACGCTAATAATCAAAATGCTTGACGGAGGCTGGAGGACAAATGAACCGGTCGGATTGGTCCGTTCGGCACCACACCTTCTTTCATAATTAACTAAATGGATTCCCTACTTATACGTAGGGAACGAGCGCTTCGAGCAACTTCGACGTAGTTGTTATCTACACGTGGGAACAAACAGAGTGCCTCTCCGTTTCTCCCTTTCTTTTCCGCATCTCTCCGTCCCCATCGCGCCGTCGGGAGTTTAGAATGTAGAACCTTAACTCCACCGGCTCTATTTTGTTGCGTCCCTCTAATGTTTATGCAATTATACCCTGTAACTGTTTACTCCAAGTTACAGTCGTGGAGATTATTCGTGCGCTGTTTCGGTTCGACAACGGTGACATCGCGAACGTGCGTTCGCTCATTAATTGAGTTTAACGCGACGCTCCTCCTACTGTACGTTCAAATGTCAGGGATGAATAAGTAAATTAGATGCAAAAACGATCTGCTATATGCGAAAAATTAAGCAGAAATGACTGATCAGAGAAGCCTAGGCGTATAAAAGCGAGATACGTTATTTCTCGACGTATCATTCCCTTCACTTTTTACAAACGTATAAACTTATCGTTATATTTTCTGCCGATAGAAAAATTAATATTCTATATTCTAAATATATTCTTCGTTATGCATATTCTTAATATCGGAGTAAAGTTTGCTGTAGGATACCTTATTTGTAAATAATAAGTTCCTCCAGTTAAAAGCAAAAGTAGATACGTACTGCAACGTGGAACGACTCAAACAGTTGTTGAAGAATATTTTTCAGATGCCGCCAACGCTGTTCAAACTACATTGCAAATTTATGTCTATGCTTCTACAATGTGTCTGCACTAAATTGCACTGCGATCCACAATATCGCAGCGTTACTACAATGCAGCTGAACGCTCCTCCGCTGTACGGGAATATACGTGATGCAATATAATGATAATTATATGTGGGTGTATAAAATTTTTGCGAATTAATAAAATTAACTTAACAGGCGACTACCAAATGCCGCTGTTGGGGAATGTAAATTCAAATTAAATTGTAACGGCACAAATACACATGGATTAAATAAAGCTTCGATATTATATGAAAGCGCACACGGAACGTACGCTCTGATACCGGACAGCAATTTTGCATAAAGACGAACGATATTTCTTGTTATTACATATTGACGATATTATCGTGCATTTGGTGATAAATGTAGGGAGATAATTAATATGGAAGGAATTAATAAAACCGATTTTGATAAAAAGCACACTGACATTCATGATATTAATATAAATAACGTATAAATAATGTATAGGTTATAAGTAATATATATATCTAAATATAAATAAGGTATAAAAGTTTAACAATTGAAAAAGAATGTTTTTTATAATATCTCACTTTAAAAACTTCATCTAGAGGCTACCTATTAATGTAAAAGCTTCAGGGATCTTTGTCTTTTTTAATTTTAAGGACAAATGGCTTCGTAGAGTCCTTCGCAAATTGAGCCACTGTTAGATTAATTACGCGTGTTACATAAATCTTATTAAAATTTTATTAATTACAATACCATGCAATTAATGATACGATCTTTTAATTTTATTTATCTACATACATTTTATTCAACCGCTTCTACAGAAATATCCCTTTTTCAAGTTTCATCTAAAATATTTACTTGATAAAACATCTTTAAAAGAAATTCCCTTTTTGGAACGCGCATTATTGCATTAATTTTTTGTCGAATTTTTCTCTAATAGATTAAACCATTTAAATCGATGAAATAGAAAATACAGAGTAAGACTAATTAATTAAAGGCAATTCATTTCTTACCTTGAATGTCGAATGGGACTCGGATTGTGAGTCAAACATAGTAAACACGAGTAAAACTCGTGATACAGACTGAATATAGGTTCATAAACACCAATTGCAGTGAAAGTTTCATCTCACGATATTGTTACTTACCAGATGATCAGCAAAGAGAGATTAAGTATATTGCCAGATTTTTGTTTTATCTCAGCACGCGAGCGACGTTGCGGCTATAACGTTACGAACTATGACACGCGCGATCATAGATTAAATCGTATAAGGCAAGAAGTTAAATGCTTTACCCTACATAACAGTTAAAAGAAACAAAACTTGTATTACTTTTGTATAATATTTTTATCATATCTAGAGTCTGGTCACGGAGAAGTGTTGGCTTTAAATTTGAAACTTTAACGTACTTATATTAAATTCAAAATTTTTTTTACGTTTGTATCTCATAAATTAAAAATGTTGGATAGAAGCGCGATGTGTCATATAAAATATTATTTTGCGAATAACTTTTGATACAAAAAGTTCGATAAATGCTTTTACATGCGGCCATTAGCACTTTTATTAGCAAACAAATTTTTTGTAAAAGCGGATCTGCATATCAAATTTCTACTGTGTTAATGTGTGAACATTTGAGTCGCAAAAACGTATGATTGCTACATAAAATGTGCGATATTAATTTTAAATTAATTAAATTTTTAATTAATATTAACGTTTTCACGTATCATAATAAAAGTAGTTTTCCTACGAACTTATTTTTTGAAACTAATTTTATACAACCGGCAATGGAAACATCAAATTTTTTAAAAAATAAGGCCATTAAAGTGATTAAATAATTTCATTACATAAAATAGATATGCATTTTTTTAAATATTGCTTAATACAAAATAAACACTTAACTCATATTAACATTTTACTTATGTTTTGTTTTTTTTTTTGCTAGTTTTTATGAATTATTTGCATGTCATTGCTCACAAAACTGTCTGGTGACGATCGTCACCAGAAATTTCGGACACATAATAGCGTTAAAGTAGCAGCTAAAATTATATTTAAATAACGCCTATTTTCACTCTGTTACTCCTACATCGGAGAAAAATTTCGAGGTTTAATGTAGGGGCAAAATTTCGACTCGGGGAATTAACGTTGTTGAAAATCGAGGACGTCTTCATTAAAATTACAAGAAGCTCGCAATATTTTTAGGAAAATAGCAATACTCTGTTTTTCTTTACTAAGAAATAAGATAGCTAATACTGTAGATGTAGCCCGCTGATTTATACAATGTGTGAATTTTTTATACCATTTTCCACCTCGTGCTGCGCACCGATACTTTTCGGTCTTGGAACAATTTTTTTTTTTGGGGTGAAACATTTTCGTCAGTTAATTCACGTATCTTTAAATTGATAAACGATTAAACGTTTAGATTCTCACTGGCGTTCTATGCAACCCGCCTCTCCCGTCGCTGTAAAGAATTCTTTTTGCCTTTGTTGTCTCCGTCCACCCGGTAGATCCAACAAAATGAACTGGACATTTATTAAATTAAAGCACGATGGAAACTTTTTAGCAAGGCTTTCCTCCTTTCAAAATGGATCTCGGAAGGAATGCTGCGACGCCGGTTTCGTGATGTTGTCAAATTTTGTCAAGCTGTCGAGACTCTGGGCCAAGATGGAATTTCACGTTTTGTGGCTGATTTTACAAGACGCGGCACGTGTGTCGAACCAAGACTCCTCTCGTTGGAGGCTCGACTTGCTTACTATGCTAAACACATTGGCCTCAGCAGGATTCCTTTACGACGAACGCCTCTCCTACCTGCTCTTTGAGATTCCCTCGTAAACTTTCCTACTACGGCATCAATCGATACTAAGATATATCGGACTTTTCTTCGAGACGAGAATCTTGAGTAGGAAGTAATGTGATAGCAATGATATTTCTCAAACGTAACGCGAAATGTTGCCGCGTTTAAAAAGGGAATCGCGCGTAATATTTTATTTTTAGGTTTCTACCTAAAATAACATAACGAAACGTGGCCGCAAAGATAAGAATTTCCTTCGTATTAAATCGTATTAATGCGCAGCCTTTATTCGTTAATTAAAAAATGCAAAAGCCGACTCTTTAATTCAATTCTGCCATTTTTATCTGTGAAAATTGAAATTCAAACGTTGATTGCAACCAACGATATAAATTGGCATTTCTGTGATGCAATTTCACGGTCTAACTAAATAGATTATAGTTCAATAGAGCTTTATCCTGGATAAATTTCGTACAGCTTTACCTCCGAAATACTCGCAAATTATCGTTTTGATAAATAACGCTACTGGCCGCGATTGAACGCGAGCTACGATCGCAATGTAGCTCGCGTTCAAGCTGCACGTAAAAACTCTAAAATGCACGTAAAAAATCTGTCCTAGAATTTTGTTATAATTAATAAAGCTAATAACTGGATCGACAGTTTTCCAAATGGACGAAATAGCAAAATAAATTTGCGAATAAACGTCGTGAGAAATGTTTAAGCGTATTCTTGAATTTCATAAACGGCTTTATCGAGTATACGTCATTTCTCATTAAAAAGTCCACATTCCGGTTCGTCACCCCACTAGCTAATTAATTTCGTTGGCGCATTTAAATACATGACGTCACGCGTGTACATCTCCGGCTACTTTGAACCTTTCGCAAGGAGAAATTGTTTGAATATTCATCATTCTAGTTCTGTAAAGATGTGCGTAGTTGGCTCTTCTTTGGAGGCTCGTCTCGGGTCTCTCGCTACACCGGCCACGTAGACTGACACCAAAAAGACTCGTCGCGACGGCGCTTCCGACGAAAATGTCTACTTTAGCGTATTGTTGCCAGATAAACTCGCATAACGGTTCTTGTCGGTAAAAATCATTTGCCATATTCTGCAATTCAACGTTGCATGAAACTGCGCGTATCCGCTGCACAACTTTTCCCCATCACAATACTCTAGCATCGCACTGGCATTGCGTGTTTTTACGTAATTTTGACATTCTCTTTGATACTTAATCGTTCCATAGGTGCAAACTAATCTCATACATTGAAGAAATCTTATTAAAATGTATGTATTCATAAGAACTTACATTGAAAAAAAAAAATCTCATCGTCATTGATAATAAAGTATGATATCAGTTAATAACCAGGTTGTCAGTGAAAAACATATTTGTATGCATGGTCGCATTTAAGTCCAGTCATGCGGTATGTTTTGTAAGCAGACAACGCATTTCGTCGTGTTCGAGTAGTTTTTCTTTTTCGCCAAAGACGACCGAGTAAAATTTACCAGTCTCTTCAACGTCCCTCGTTTAACGCGGGTCTTCCTTCTTTCTTTTTTCTTTTTTTCTTTAAGAAACATTAAACGCAGAAAAGCGAACGGGCAATAATAGAAAAGCATACGAGAGGTGGCTGGTGTATATTGTAAAAGTAAATTCCCGTGTACTTGTAACTCTACGCCTTTCGCGTGCCGCGTATCGTATTTTGGAGCACTCGGAATACCGTCCGCGGGTCGACTTGACGTATGCACGAGGAAATGTCGCAGTATCGCGGCGGGAACTTGCGGAAGAGTGTAAGCTCCGCGTGCATTACGGGCGCCAGCATTGTGTTCCGTTCCGATTCAATCCTCGTGCCATTCAACGAGGCGTCCGCTCACACCCCGATCGAATGTGGCGTTACGGACGCGAGTGAGAGGCTGTTTGCACGTAAGAAACGAAAACATATGCTAATGAATCAATCGACATCAGCCACTGCGAAGTAAATAATACGCGGTAATATCTCGTACTGCGTTGCACGTTTACGCCTTGATCGAAATCCGAGAAATCGGCGCCTCCACCGGCCTCTCTCTCTCTCTCTCCCCCCGGATAAATTGATTCCTAATAAACGTACAGGGTCGACTTAATTTTCTGCTGAATAACGCAGAAAAAAGTGTATGCAGAATATACTTGTAAATTATATCACATTGCAAAACGAGGGTATACTTTTTATATTTATTGGATGTGAAATATTGATTCCTTTTTCTCTTTCTTACATTAACTTGAGGTAATTCTGGAGAAACCGGATTTTAAATAATGTTATTTCTGTTATACCTGCCACGTTTAACCGAGCTAATTTTGCAATGTTGCTTCGAGAAAGGCCAGGGATTTTATAGAAATGTTGTATATTGAATGTTACGTACTCATATAGATTCCAATAATTACGTTATCGGATTGTCTTAATTATTAAATCGAAATTTCTTTCTACGAGCCGACAGAACATTTTATAAATCGTGCTCGTGCGGCAAGAAGCAAATTGTTTATCATTTACTGCACTTTTATAGTTTCGAACTCTTAAAATGATTTCTGAAATAGACTTTTATCCGGCTAATTAAAGATTAAACAGCTCCTGACTGACATTGATCTTGATCAATTTCTTATAGAATTCTGCGAGCGTTTTAACTTTCATGACATGAAGACAGCCCTTAGAAACTTTAAAGTGCTTCGCGATGTTAGTGCGCTAGCGATTTCCTTTCTTGAAAAACAGATTACCATAACGAGACGACGTTTTGAGCATACGCGTGAAATCGCCGCGAAAAATCGCGCGGATGACAGTTTACTCGCGTGCTGCACGAGTAAACGAATAGCCTCGCGTGTAACGATATAATATAAAACATATACAGCTTGTCTCAGAGCAAGATTAATAGCCCTGAAATTCGTCGATGAATTTAAAGTAAATTTGACCGAGAAAATATAATAGATTCTTTTTTTGCCACACATTTAAGTCTAATCCCACAATGTTTTTCGCAACGAGAGGCATTCTATTTTATACAGGCAAATCTCTCAATATGCTTGAAAACTTTGTCGACAATGCACGATTGTGCAATGTATAATATACAGTTTATCGACACGCGCGTATTTTTTAAACGTGTCCATTGGCTATAAAATAAAATGTTTCTAGACGCAAGAAACACGTCGTAGATCGGGCTTTGTCTCAAAAGTGATTGAATTAAAAAATTAATATTTACTATTAAAGTAAATATTGTACAATTTAATTAATTAATATTAAAATTCAAAAATAATTTTGTAATAAATAAACTAACCACGTTTACTATTCACTTTCACTTGGACCTCAGTAAAAATTGAATTCATGCTTATGTTCGTCAAACTTGATAAAACGTTTAAGATATTAATATTAATTCGACTGGATATTTATAACATTGTTTCAATTGGATCGTAATTTTCACCGACAGAAAGTTAACGCAAATTTATCCAAACTTGTTATCGAATTGCTATTTTTTTCAAGCCCCCTGCATTCTTCGCACTTTCGTGCTGGCGAATTTTTATAGTGATTGTCATCTACAATAAAAATATATCTGCGTGTGTAGGCAAAATAAACTACTTTAATAATAGCAATTAGCTAGAATAAACTTCTTACTTTTGCGATAAAATGAGTGGTCCGCAAAAGCCATCTCTTGGATTCAATTACCGTCGCCCAGAAATTATGCGCCACGGGAAGAAGACACTCTGGAAAATGTTTTCTCCAAATGAAGCGGTTAAAATACACCTCTCTCTGCACATTCGTGTGTTAAACAGGTTAAACTGTACAAAGGATGACAGCCGTATAGATGTACAATAGATATCAATCCGCTTTTGTCACTCGCAAAATATTTGCGAGTATGAAATTAATGGACCAATGGTAAATCGAAAGAGTAATCGCTTCTTTTTTCACCGCCCTTTTTTTCCCCCCCTCGGGCTTTATAAAAAAAAACTTTTCACCGTTCCGCATACGAGAGACTTGCATTCGCGCGCTATTTAGGATCGGGTGTAAACAAGTAAAAATGAGTCGGTGAAGTTTGAAAATAGAATTTTATTAGCTACGTAGCAAAATACCTATTTATTTAAATATTTGGCGTCACACGATTACCAGGCTAAGTTCGTTTATATTAATATACAATATGTAAAATGTGCCATATTGGATATGGGCAGTGTCCGTGGTGGTACGATAAACTTAGACTTCAATACGAGATTCAGACGAATATAAATATATATTATTTTACATGCTAGAACAGAGTACGCTATAAAGGCACTTGCTTGAATAGTTATACATATAAAAAAAAGAGAGAGAGAGAGAAGAAAACACATATGGCGAAAGAGAGTAAGCGCGAAGGTAAAAGAGCGAGTAACGAGTGGGGGGGGGAAAGGGTGGGATGGCTCTCGGAGAAAGAAGCTATCCAGGACGCGGAGTGTCCTGACAGCGAGGGGGCGAGGAGGCAGGAAATAATGAAGACAAGACGTGGCTGCGGAACACGTTTGAGGCAGAGGGAATCACAGGAGAGAGGGATACGTCCGTTCTCTTTATTTCTCGACGTCGTCGACACGGATCGGACGATGCCGTCTGAACTTCCGTTCCGTCGTTCCGTTCGCGAGACATTACCGCTCTTTTCTTCCTTGTTATCAGAGAACGGAACCGGCGCAATTCCGACGAGTTCAATTTTCCGTGGCCGCGGAGACGCGGCGAAATGTATCCCGCGGCAGTCGGGCGCATTTTCATTGTCTCGGATAAACATAGAGATCATTTCCGCGGTGGAATCTCTAACGTCCGAGAGCTGAACTCGTTGAAATTGTATCGGTTTCAATCGTAATGATAGTTTCGCTTCTGTTCTCGTGTAAAAAAAAGAAGGAAAAATAAGTGTATTGCGTATATGCCGTGTGTGTGTGTGTGTGTGTGTGTGTGTGTGTGTGTGTACATGTGTGCGTGTGTGTACGTGTGTGTGTGTATGTGTGTTCCGTGTGTAAACGGTGGCGCGCACGTTTACGTATTCTTTATACAAACTTGGCAGCGACTTATTCGGGATCTAAGATTACCCGCCTTTAAGGTCTGTTTCTCGGGGCTCCTGAACTGCTGGTTTTCCTCTATGGTCACCATCCAGAAGCTGTACTGATTAGAATAGTAATGGCAGTGTCCTTTGGCGCCGTTGCACTCGATGAAAGGTGTGGCGCGGAAGTCCTCCAGGCAGGAACCGGGACTCGACAGGGACTGGCCGCCGCCTTGGGAGCCTGCGCCGGTGTGCTGAAACGGATAGCGAAGAAATTTACTCGATAAATAACTAACTGCCCGAGTGCCCGTTTTCAATTCCCAATATCACGTGTTGTGCCGAGTCCACATCTTGTTTGCTTAAACACCAAGGCCCGGTCTTTCATTTTCTGGTTAACTGTTAACCGGCGGTCAGGCGACTCTCCATCCTTTCCTATATTATTGTCTAAGAAGAGGCAGGTGGTCGACTAACCTTTGGTCAATCAGAAAATGAAAAACCGGGCCTAAGGGCCAGTTTCACAAACGCTAACTGCTAACCGAAGATTAATTGACTTTCTGTTTCCTTTTGGATAATAAGATAGAAAAAGATAGGGCGTTGACTGAACTCTGGTTAGCAGTTAACCGACGTTTGTGAAATTGGCCCAAGGGGTTGGTTTTTCCAACCTCTTGGCAAACTAATTAATAGTAAAGTTATATATCTGTCTTTGTTGAATTCGAGGGAAAAACAAAGGCACGTATATGCTTTAACTATTAAGTTAATTTAGCGAAAGATTGGAACACCCAGCCCTAAAAGTTGTGATGAAGACGGCCGTCCCGTTTATTAGCTCGTCGTCGAAACGCTGAGAGAGAGAGAGAGAGAGAGGACGTCTCGAATAAATTGGATCTTTCTTTGAGCGAGAGACAATCTTTGTCTTCTGACAGCTCACAGAGATGAAAGTTTGCCTTATTTCGAAAGTGATTGATGTGAGCTTTCTATGAACTGAATATAAAGCGAATTCCGCACTTATAGGCGCGAGTCAGGTGAAAAGTAATTTTAGAAAAATTCGCGATTTTGTGCGAGATTTTTTCGGTGTTCTTTATTTATTATACATTATTAGTATTGATGTTTTTATGCTTTAACGACAACGACTGCAAATATAAGTCTACATATGTTAAACCTAATTTCGATCAATTCTGTCAGTCTGACTGATCGGTCAGTCTCAATGAATAGTTTAAGTTAATAAGCATAGAGAGGCAATAAGAGCCAAAACTAGGTGCGGATCGATATATTAGATTTAATGTTTAATACATGAATTTAATGTTTAATGAATGAATAGTTAATATATTATATATCAAAAATTCTGCAATTAGCGAATAATAGTTGCTTTAATTTTATCGCGTTTCCAGTTTTCTACGCGGAGAGAAATTTCTTTTAAAATTCATGAAAATCATGTAATCGTAGGACATGGCATTTGAAGAACTTTATGAGAGTTTTTGAAAATTTTACAATACATTTTACTAGTAAAATGTGTAAAAAAACTCTCATAAAATTCTTGAAAATGCCATGTTGTCCCACGATTACGTGATTTTCAGGATAAATTTTAAGAGAAAATTCTCGCCGTTAGTTTTCGCTGGCATCATTTTAATATTTGTCAAAATTAGTACCGCGCGATCTAATTCATTTCATACTCTTCTATATGCTTTATCTCTGCTACAGATTTATTTTTTTTTCAACTAATAAGATAATCGATTTAAGACAACCGCGACGCGAGCATTAATAACTTTGTTTGCTTGACGATTAAAAAATGTGTCACCTATTTTCATCGAAAGTTGATATTAAATGAAAAATATGAAGTTACCTTGTGTTAAAATAGCGTGTGCAGAGGGAAAAAAGTTACTTACCATTACAAAACTATAACCGATCCAAAGACCGGTCCATCCCGCTGGACATTCTGGAATGCTTATCGCTTGACTGTGTACCGCTATCACATTAGCCGGAACTTCGCACACCACGCACCTGCCGCAGAAATGGCAAGTTTATTGTGTGATAAGTAAATAATGATTTATTGCACGATAATAAGTAATAACTGTCGGTATAAACAGTCTTTCAAACGTTATCAAGTTCACCTAATGCCCAGAGAAATGTGTATTAATCGAAAATTTTTACACGTAAAGACGTGACAAGCTCTTATTTCATTCGCATAAGTGCCAGTTGTAGTCGGACGAGGAAATATTAATATACTTTTTTTTGCGCAGTTTCCTCGATAGTCGATGCTGCGCATATTAATCAGGCTTTAGTTGTGGAATCTTGCATATTTTTAAATCGATATATTTGATACGCGTCAGCACCGCAATTAAACCTTGATATGTATAAAAACCTGGTAAAACATTGTTTTCTATTTTTAATTGACTTTGACCGATGATAAATTGAAGATTTAACTGTCGAGACATTTGACGATGGAGAGACGAACTAAAGACACAATTATTAGCAACGAAATTTAATCATAGAAACGTTGTCATCTTCCTGACGATTCAACGCGCAATTCGTACGGCTAGAAGAATATTCGGTTTCGTTGTCATTTTTATTTCCCCTCTCCAGAGGAATGCAGAGATTTTTCGTTTGCTCGCAATAAAAAAGCGACACATAATAGCAGAAAATCGGAAAAAAAAAATTGTACCTGGAGATATATTCTTCTATTGCCGTCTCCTCGACTGGCATCATGGGAATTGGGCTATTGGTAGACAGCCAGTAAGACCGATCATTGCGACTAGCGTAATGGCAGACGTTGTTGACGTCGCAGAACAGGAAGGGTATCGTGGAGAATTTTCTTACACACGAGCCGGCATAACCTGTTTCGTGTAATAATTTATGGGACAAGTTCGATTAGTTTGCGCGAAAAAAAAAAGAGGAATTTCATCGTCACTTTGAAATCTACAATCGCGATCGTGATATGACACCGAGGACGGGAGGGAGAAAAAAAAACAAGTATGACCTGTTTTACTGAACGCAAATATGTATCACCTCAATCGATGCTAAATAGCCTGTGATCGTGCGAAAAATATGTGATGCGATGCATATAAATCCGATTGAATAATGAATTTAAGTGTCTATTAATGCTCAAATACGAGTCGTAACAATTATATCCAGATAATCGGAATTAATCGTGCAAATCTAGTAAATCTCTGACACGGTGTCCATAGGCGCGAATCAAAGAGTCGCGATAGATTTATGAACATAATCTGATGAAATACTAATAAAAATTTAAAAGAAAGAGCGACACGCAGGAGGGAGATTCTCCTAAATATTAATTTTTCCGTTTTCATGCTAAAACGATTATTACGAAGATTGCGCTTCGCTCTACAATGATCGTTTTAGATTTATTTTTAGGCCGGTATAACAAAATTATATCGTTGAGTACTTTAAGTAAATAAAATATCTTATCTCCTGTACAGAACACGAACGGTGCGAAGCTTACCTAAGTCTTGAGAGTGCGCTCTCTCGTCGCCATCGGTGTAGAGCAAACTGTATCCCTCCCAGAGTCTGATGTGACCCGGCTCGCAAATCGGGGTGCTTTGACTTTGGCTGTGCTTGACCAGAAGAATACCGGTGAGATAATCAGGTGTCGTTTCGCAGGGCGCACCGGGCTCGCCAGTGAGTCCTGGCGCACCGACAGGACCCTGAAGACCCGGTAGGCCGGACGCGCCGACAGGTCCGGGCAATCCTGGTAGCCCAGGAGGTCCTGCTGGACCGATGAAACCTTGGGCGCCTTTAATACCGTCTAAGCCGGGGAAACCGGGCGGACCCGACAGTCCTTTCTCTCCTGGTGGACCAGACGGTCCAGCCGGGCCTGTGAAAAAATGTTTATATAAGTTTCAGATGCAATGTATGTTAAATAAGATGAAATCCGTACAATTCTTCAGACACGTCTATTCTGAAAATAAATGGAAAATTTTATTCTACACATCTAGAAACTTTGCAGCAAATTTTTACGCACGCTGTATCTGAAACTACATTTTTCACATCGTACATATCGCACATAATTTATACTAGAATGACTTTTATCGAGTTTTTACAAACATGTATTTAGAATATTTGCAAAAATTATTATAAGCATACCAGGATATCCGCGATCTCCTTTAGGTCCCATTGGCGGCTCGAGACAATCTTCACCCTTTTCTCCTTTATGACCTGCGTAGCCAACGGTACCCATTAATCCGACTGGACCAGGATATCCTCTATCACCCTTCTCGCCAAGTGGTCCAGGTAGACCATTTACACCGTCCCAACCTCTTTCACCCTTTTCTCCTTGGGGTCCGTCTAATCCATTTGCTCCTAAAAGTTAATAACCAAACGGTCATATCGTCGCCCAAGAAATAACTATGATCCGATTTTCTTTGTCGTTTCAATACAAATGGAGAAATATATTCGCTTTAATAATGCAAAGCATAATAAATATTAGATCGATATATTTAATTACTCTATTCCCGGATTAAAAGTATCGCAATCTAATAAGAATGTTGTTGTATATGTATATACTATTTAAATTAATATTCTCTCTCTCTCTCTCTCTCTCTCTCTCTCTCTCTCTCTCTCTCTCTCTCTCAATTAAAAACACAATAATCACCTGGATGACCGGTTTCTCCCTTTAATCCTGGGGCACCAAATAATCCAGGCGGTCCTTGGTCACCCTTCGGACCTCTCTCACCAGGTAATCCTGGTACACCTTCGAGACCTGGGGTTCCGTCACGTCCTGGTGCTCCAGTTATACCCAGTACTCCTTGATCACCTTTCTCACCTTGCGGTCCAACTGGTCCGTAAGGACCAATGTCTCCCTTTGGTCCAGGCAAACCAGGTAATCCTGGTTCGCCCTTCTCACCGGGTCGTCCTGAAAATCCGTCCCTGCCGTGCTTACCCATTAGACCTGGCAAACCTTTTTCACCCTTTATTGTAACTCCAGGAGCTCCGGGAATACCAGGAGGTCCTTGTTCGCCTACAATGTTTTATAAATATTAAAAAATATTAATACACTTATTCTAGTACATGTATAAAAAATTGCAATGTTCATGTTTCTCTAATGTTTGCAATTTTACTAATCTATTTAAAGTTTATTTACTTATTAAATAACATATCGCGTATAATACAAATAAAGAGCGTACCCTTAAGTCCCGGAGCACCGTGAGGTCCAGGAGATCCTTCGGTTCCACCTGAGCCTCTGTCACCCTTTTCGCCATCATAACCAGCGATACCTATCAGACCTTGATCTCCTTTCTCTCCCTTTTCTCCAGAAAATCCAGGTATACCTGGTTCGCCTTTCTCACCCTTGATTTGGATCGTAGGTCCCGGCGGACCACGATCTCCTTTTTCTCCTAGTGCTCCAATGATTCCAGGCAATCCGACGAGTCCTGAAATCCAATTTTGTTTCACACGATCGAGTTGCTTCACGTATATAATCTGACTTATATGTATTGATAAAATATTAATGATCGTCTTGCATACATTACATGCAATTAGTCGATGTTATTTTACGAACTCTGGCATTGTGATTACCTGGCTGACCGCGATCTCCTTTAACACCATCGAGTCCAGGTCGACCAGGAGAACCAAGTTCGCCATCAAGTCCCGGGAAACCAGGTGCTCCGGGCGACCCGATTGCACCAACTTCTCCAGGAAGTCCATCTATGCCCGGCGGACCCGGTTCTCCGTGTATACCCGGTGGACCCTAATAATAACAACAAAGAAAACGAAATTATAATTACAAAATTTTCCAGTGTTCAATATTTTCCTCTTAGATTATGAGCACTTACGTAGTCGCCTTTTATTCCGGGGAATCCTCGTACACCGGTATCACCCTTTTGGCCTTGGAATCCTGGCGCTCCGTCCCGACCCGGTACACCCGCGTCGCCCTTTAATCCAGGTAATCCGTCACGCCCATGGCCTGGTCTGCCAGCTTCGCCCTTCGATCCATCAATACCGTCTCGTCCCGGCGGACCCTGAGGACCCCGTATTCCAGGCATTCCTGGCTCGCCTTTCTGTCCTTTTTCCGAGACTTGCCCTGGCTCTCCTTTCCTTCCCTGATTGTATATCATTACATATATGAAATATTACACACACATGCACACACGCACACAAAGTATTGTGTATAATATATAATTACAAAATTATTATAATATATATTTTTATGAATAATTAATATATATAATTATGAATATACATAATAAATATAAATATACATATATAAAGATTGTCCAAATAAAACGTAAACTCTTGTAATTAATAATATAGAATTGTGTAATTGCAATATTTACCGTTGGACCCGGCAGTCCAGTGTCGCCCTTAACTCCTTCATAACCGACGATTCCTGGTAAACCAGGCGCGCCAGGTAGTCCTTGGTCACCTTTTAGCCCGGATATACCAGGACGACCGGGCTTTCCTTCCATACCTGGCAATCCAGGGAATCCCGGTGAGCCTTTGTCACCGTGTTCTCCCTTTAGACCTGATACGCCATCGATTCCAGGTCTACCTGGAGTTCCAGGTAATCCTCGTCTGCCGGGGTATCCTTTCGGTCCATCAATACCTGGTTCGCCGCGATCACCTTTCGATCCCGGGAAACCTGGGAGGCCCGATCTACCTGGTTCTCCTAGTAATCCTGGCTCGCCTGTAAATGAATAATTTATTATATAATTATTATATTGCTAAATTTTGCCTTACAATTGGAACATTTCCTTGGATTTTTTAATACAACGACATTATTGTGCAAATATTCTTACTTACTGTTGAAATATGAAAGTCTTTGTTATATCATACCTTTGCCTCCATCCGCTCCTGGGATACCAGCAACACCTGGAGGACCAGGTGGACCAATTGGACCTGTGTCTCCTTTCCCACCAGGTGCCCCTGGCAAACCATTTATTCCCGGTGCGCCAACGTCTCCCTTCTCGCCAACAAAGCCTGGTAATCCCTGATAACCGGGCAGACCTTCTTTCCCTGGTGGCCCGGGAAGACCTTTCTCTCCTCTCTCACCTGGAGGTCCTGTTAAACCAGGACTACCTTTAACCGATATTCCCGGTTCTCCCTTATCACCCTTCGGAGCCGGAGCACCTGGGAAGCCTCTAGGTCCTTCGCGACCAGACTCTCCTGGGAAACCCATAGGACCCATGTTACCCTTGTCTCCGCGCGGGCCAGGTAAACCTCTTGCACCAACAGGTCCAGGAGCACCGATTGGACCAACTGGACCGGGTGGACCCTGATTTTTAAATTGTTACATTATATTAGAAAATTACTTTCTAGATAAATAATATGAGCTAATTGAATGCTTGTTAGTGAAACGCATTATTTAATTTATCACTTATTTATGTTTCACACGTACGCGACACGTTATTTCTTTATTATTAATAACTTACTAATCAATTGACTAATTAAACTCATTAATTCATTTCATTTATGCAAAAAATGTATATGTATATTACACAAGATGCAAGTTTTTTATTGATATACATACCGAGAAGCCTTGCAATCCTTTATCACCCGATATTCCATCCCTGCCAGGTGGTCCAGGTTCTCCCTTCTCACCTGTCAGGCCTCGATCACCTTTGAAGCCTTTCATGAGGTCAAGTGGCGGACATTCACCTGATTACAGATACAATTACAAATATAATTTTCAATGTACATCCATAAGTATATGACGTACCCTTAAAATATTTAAAAAATAATTATTATAGAAAATGTTCTGAGAGACATTCAAGAATTAGCAAAAACTTACCAGGTTCACCCTTAATTCCGTAAAATCCAGGTTCTCCTTTCTGTCCTGGAGATCCCGGACGACCTCCTTCTCCCGGTTCACCTTTTATACTTATCCCTTTGTCTCCCCTGCGTCCAGGTGTACCAGGTCTTCCGGGAACGCCATCTTGCCCTGGGAAGCCGCGATCTCCCTAAAAGCGACGAGTTTGTAATCTGACATGTAAAAGAGATTTGCCAGAAAAAAGTATTAATTACTTTCTTTAAAATTGACAAGAATAATTAAAAGCTTGATCTTACTGGCGTTCCTTTGAGCCCTGGGAAACCTTCGAATCCAGGTCTACCCTTCTCTCCCACCGGTCCTTCCGGTCCCGGCGGACCTTGTCGACCAGACTCTCCACGCGCTCCTTTGTCACCTTTTTCCAGTTTGAGCATGTTCCATGTCACTGTTGCCGGGGTTCCGGATTCTCCTTGAGGTCCTGGAGCACCGGGTATACCATCTTTTCCCTTATTGACAAATCGGTACATTTCTTTTTACTTGATACAATTTACACTTTACAGTTTACAATTGCGACAACGCGTGTACTTCTGTACAATGCCTCTCTGTATTAGTTCTCTAAATGTTTCAGATAGAAAGTCTCGTGTATTAAGCAAAAATGAAACTTGAAGTTTTACTACTTAAAATCATCTTATATGATTAAGTAAAAAAAGTGTTTTATTCTTTCACTTTTTACAGGCTTACTGAAAGTCCTTTAGGCAACTTAACGAATATTGGATTTTTAAATAGAATTTTATAATTTAGTATTTTGATACGTTATATATTCTCTTATTTTTCAGATGTTTTAAATGTATTTTATACGGCATATAAACTTGTGAGAATTCTATTTTTAATACATTTCATAATATTTGAATAAATGATATATATGACTTAAATAAAACTATAATTCGAAAGAAATTGTAAACATTGTCCAGAATGGATTGAGTAAGTTAAATATTATAAAAGTGTAAAAAATATTTATCGGGAAAACGGATGTTAACTTTGCGATGATAATATTGGTTCACTTAACGATACGTATTTTTTTACTTATGTATCATAGTTTTTGAGGCTGCAATTTTTTTTAATAAATCTTCTCCAAATATATATATTCTCCTAATGTAAGTAAACTGAAAAATACACGATATACGTATAAAGTTAAAGTAATACGGTATTATTCCTTTTTTTTATGAAAATAGGCTCCATAGCAGTTGTAAAATTCTTAATTAACACTACTAGGTATATCACTATTTAGGTGAAAAGATAAAAAAATACATATCGACATACTTCAAACGTAAATATTACATAATTAGTTAAATAAATATTGATAAAATCTGCGAAACGAATAAATAAAAATAACGTACTGGCAGTCCCGGAGGTCCGATTGCGCCTGGCAAACCGTCCACTCCAGGTTCACCCGGGAAACCGCGTTCTCCGGGTGGTCCTCGGGGTCCGGTAAGTCCGGGTATACCATCCAAACCACGATCACCTTTGGCGCCTCGAAAACCAGGTAAACAATCTATACAGCGACCGCCGATATCTCCTTTATCTCCAGGCGTCCCAGAAAGGCCTGGTATGCCGTCTCTTCCTGGCGCTCCGGGTTCCCCGGCCTCACCGGGTGCACCCGGTGATCCTGGGATACCGTCTAGAGAGTCTCCCGGTCGACCTCGGACACCCGCGTAACCTCGTTCGCCCTTTTGTCCTTTCTCTCCATCGAAGCCAGGCGATCCATCCATGCCTTTCGGTCCCTACGCCAGACATAACGATCCAATTACTGTTTTAAATAGCAATATAATAATTGATCTGGTTGTATATTTTACCATTATTGAGAATCCTTTATCTCCTGGCAGCCCTCTCGGTCCAGCCGGTCCTGGTGGTCCATCAAATCCACGTGGTCCTGGACCTCCAGGGAATCCGGTCAAACCGGGTTCACCTTTTCCACCTTTTTCCCCTGGCAAACCTTCTGGGCCTGGAATTCCAGACAATCCGGGACCTCCTTGTAAACCAATGGGGCCTCTTGGTCCTGGGTCTCCTGGAAAACCGTCTGTTCCTCGTGACCCGGTGGGTCCTGGAAAACCACGTGGTCCTTTCGGGCCTGGCGGTCCCGGTCTTCCTTTACCACCCTGGAATGCAATTTTTAGTAACATTATACGTTAAAAAATTGTTGTTTAATGATATTAATTTAAAAGACTAAGACTTACCCCCGGTGGTCCAGGAGGTCCTCGTAAACCTGGAACTCCCATCGGTCCGTCTCGACCGGATTCTCCTTTCTTGCCGGATCGCCCAGAAAGGCCTTCCAATCCGTCAATACCTCGATCACCTTTTCGTCCAGGAGGTCCAGGAGGCCCAGAGAAACCATCTCTACCCTAAAATAAAAAAGAATTCTAATTTATATTTTGTTCCAATTTATATTTAATTGTGTCACTTTTACTTATCACTTTTGGAAAATTCAATAATTCAATAATAGTAATTTATTTAATTAAAATCATCCGAGAAGATTGCGCGTGCACGTATGCATAAATGTACTTACACGAATGCCTGGAGCTCCTGGAAGACCTTTCTCTCCTTTGTGTCCTGATCCACCGGGTATACCATGATCGCCTATGAATCCTGGTTCTCCTTTTTGTCCTTCCGGTCCCATTTCACCCTAAGTGTCACTCCAGTTATAGTATGATGTAAAATTCCGCATGCAATAATACGCACAAGACACCGATATTTTCCTACCCTATCTCCTTTTAGGCCTGGTTCACCGCGCGGACCCGTTACGTCCGAGGCTCCTTGGAATGGCATAATGGGCGCGGTCGAGCCCGGAGGTCCCGATTCACCCTTCTGACCTTTATCACCCTTTAATCCTTCGAATCCGAGACCCATGTTTCCTTTTTCTCCTTTCGGACCCGGTAAGCCCGAGGTGCCCTGAAATTACATACAATATTGCACAATGTGTAAAAATATTTTGAAGGGAAAATTACATTTTTTAATTTGATACTTACGTAGGGACCTCGTTCACCCTTCACGCCAGACGGGCCACGCTCTCCCTGAAAACCGGGAGGGCCGGGAGGCCCTCTGACACCGTCGTTACCAGGTTCACCCTTTTGACCCACCGGGAAAGCGCCGGCATACGCTGGCTGGCCCTTTTCTCCTTTAGGCCCAGGCCCACCTCGAAAACCTCGAGGTCCTGGTTCTCCGGGTACGCCGTCACGTCCACGTTCACCCTAGAAAAATGTAATATATGAATTATATTGTTAACGATACAACAATAACTTGTAATTCTTAAAGATCTTGTAGAATTGAATTATTAGACGATAAGCTTGCATATAAATTGTTCGTAATATCCCCTCAATGTTCTAGCGTCCATATTTTTATATTTAAAGAGCGGACATCTGAGAAAATAATAGATACAAATTAAGGGAATTAAGGAACGTAATCGTGTTAAGATCTTCATGACTCGTGAAAAATACTTACGTCCGTTCCGTTGCAACCGTCACGACCGGGCAAGCCTGGAGAACCCGGAGATCCTTGTACTCCAGGCACACCGTTTATACCAGGAAAACCAGGCATACCCATTTTTCCCTTTAATAACGTAAAATTATTTTCTTTTTTAGCAAAAGTTTAGGTAACACTGTAATATGATGATGCTAAATGTACATACTCTGTCACCTTTCGCACCGTGCGGACCTTGTGGGCCGGGGTCTCCCTTCTCACCTTTGGGTCCTAGAAGACCTTCCGCTCCTGGAAATCCCCGCTGTCCCTTAGGACCTTGCGGTCCGAGTATTCCCGGTGGTCCCTTGAATGAGAATATCGTAATAAATTCAGCATTTAAAACTCCAAAAGTCACGTAATACGCTATTAATCGTTGACTAACTGTAATGCTGTTAATCGATTTTGGTAATCTCGTGAGAACGTTTTCTTTTAACTCATGCGCAATATTTATTTCGTATCAGTAATCTCTCTTAA